TCCTACTGCCACGCCAATCCCTACTGAACCACTAGCACCCCCAACTTTCTGTTTGTCGTTGGCATCCATCATCCGCCCTCTTCTGGCTCCCCATCGTTCCTCGCATTGCCGCTGCTATATCTGCGTATCCTCCTCCTTCTGACCCCCGACCAGTTGCTGCTTTCACCCCATCTCCTATGAGGAGGAGCTGTGTCTTGAGTAGGAGGAGGCGCCCGAATGATGAGGCGGAGGTGTGCGAGGGTCATGTAGAGGAATAGCTCCTCCTCCTCCGCCGCCTCCTCGATCTCTCCTCCTTTGCAAAATCGCCCCGGCGAACGGCGATTGCCTGTAGGACGCGAGTCTCACCACGCCATCCGCGTCGATAGACAGAGACGCCTCGGTGGCTGTCACCTCAGCGGCCGCCACGAGTGAGGGGAAGACAAACCAAAGCGAAACAGCAGCCTCATGCGCACGGCGACACACAAGCGCCCCCCATCGGGGACGACTCTGCCATTTTGGGTCGACGCCACCTCCCGCCTGGACGCGGCCCCTGCCAAACACTCCTGATGGCACACGGCAGGACTCCGCCAGACTCGCGTTTGTCGCGGGAGGGGTCGTCTCTGCCGTGTGGCACTCAGCTTAGGTCGGGCGTGTCCTCCTACAGGCGGATTTTGGGCGACAAATGAAAAATAATCCCAAAGTGAACCAACATTGTCAAACATTGTCACAATATCGTCCCCAGATCATTTGCTATTTTTCATTATTCCTCCTGTAGAGGTAAGTGCCCGACTTAACACTAAACGCGGCGCCCTCGCCCTCGCGAGTGAGTCCCTCCGGAACACAGGAAGCGCGGCCTCGCGAGATCTGGACTCTGGGCAGAGGCTCCCCCCAGCAGGACGCCCCGAGTGCAGAGGTGGCGCACTCGCACCTCGAGGCTTCAACCCAAGAGTTGGAGCGCCCAAGGGTCTTTGAGGATATTGCAAACGACTGCTGACAGATGATCCAATACCATCGGGTTCGATTGGAGAGGACGCGCGATAGGACACGAGACTCTCCCGAGGGCAACACTGCCGTAGGAATGTAAGAAGGCACAGGTCGCAAAGCCGAGGGCACACGGGCACCGCTGATTTGGCAAGGTCAACCCTCTAATCAGCCGCGACTGTCTGTACCGTCATATCCTGCATGACCTCCCAGGCGGTCCTTCACCCGACCGCTCAAGGACCCCATGAGGCCCCAAACGCTCGAAACAGCGCGGCCCAGATCCCAAGACCGTTTGCTCTCCCAAGATCACATTCTGCTCGCTGCTCAGCGGTACGCTCTTGGGACCGTGGGCGCATCGGTTTTTCGCTCCGCCCTCGGGACCGGAGCCAGCGAGAGATCCGAAGGAAGCGAAGTAGCCAGCAGGGCCGAAGGACCAGTACAGTCGGACCGCCCAGGGATCCAGAGGGATCCAGGGGGGGATCGTGGACGGCCGTCGCGCCCCTCTGGACGTGCATCAGTGCATCTCCTGTGGGGGGACAAGGGCACGGGTTACGCGGTCTAACTATGGGTGGACCTGAACGTTCCAAGGGAAGCGGGGCGACGGGGAGGGGGAGTGGAAGAGGGAGGAGGTGAAGAGGGAAAGAAAGTAAGGGAAGAGGAGGGAGAGAAAGGAGGATGAGGGGGGATCGTGTCATAGCAAGTGGGGTTCGCGAGTCAGCTCACGCGGCAGGTTTTGCCGGCGCCTCCTGGCGCGGGAAGCGGCACGTATATAGATGAACCCGCTGGGCGGCGGAGCCGAAACCAGCTGCGCGCAGCAGATGTCGTAGCCCCTCCTTTCCCAATCCCCTTTGGTTCGACTCGGGAAAGGGGAGAAAGGAGAGAAGGAGGGAGGCTGGGAAGAGGGAGACAGGGAAAATAAAGGAAAGAGAGAGAGAGAGAGAACAGAGAAAGGTAAGTCAGGCGTGCGCGCCACATCTGGCATCCCACCCTTTCCTCCCAGTATTTCCCAATGCGCTGTTTTGTTTTCTCTGCCCGCCGACGCGTGTCAGAGGGGACATGGAACCCCAAAGAGGACCCCATCGTGTTATGCGCAATCGGAAAGAAGGCCGCGTAGATTGGAGGTGGCGGATGAGCAGGAATATGAGCAGGAAGAGCAGAACAGAGCAGAGCATCTCCTATGATCCGATGAGTCCAAACGCCTGCCTCGAGACTACAGCACCCTGCAGGCCCTCAAAGAAAACCAACACGGACCAGGCGTTCGAGAACCGCTTTAGGGGCCCGATCGTCTTTGGGGTCCTGCAAAGGGATATCTCTGGCAAAAGCGAAACCCCCATTAGGGGGCACCGCGGAGGCTCGCCCATGACTCCCTCGCTGTGCAGGACCGAGGGCAAGCGACGCCAGAACTCACCCCAGCACAACCCCAAGTAGGACTCACGGCGCGGGGCCGCGCAGGCGTCCGAGGGCCGCGAAGACCCAACGACTCGGTCCTCCTCCAGAAAGCTTTCCGCAAGGCGCAGCTGCCGAGGGGCCACGGAAAACGACCGAAAACGCCTGGAGGGCGAGGAGGGGTTCATCAGGCAGGTTGCCCTGGAGGTAAACCTCAGCGGCGCGGCGAGAGCCGTTCATTGCTACCAAACGGGCCCACGCAGCAGGCCGACTCATGCCTCGTCCTCCTCCTCGGCGGGTTTGTCCTTGAGGCCTAGCTTCAACACGAACTTGGCCGCCTCCCTCTCCACGCCCCCGCGCGGGGTCGACCCTGGCAGGTATGTGACCTGCTGTTCCTTCTCCTTGGCGCCCGCCGCCAGTAGTGCCATCTGGATGGCCTCCATCAAGGTATACTGGCTGACCTCCCACTTGTTGGCCTGCTGCTGGGCGCCCGCCATGATCTGTAGTTTGAAGTGGTCGGGATTCGTCGCCCTTTCTCCTGTCGTACCAGCAAACCTTGATCCGGAAGTGGCAGCAATGTGCCGACAACAGGTCGAGCACCGTCGGACCGTCGGAGCCAGTGTTACTTTCTCCCAGTGGTCCTGAAGCAGCCCCCGAACCGCCTGAGGTGTCGTCGCTGCGCCCTCCGTGCAAGCCCATTTGATGAACGCTTTGGACACATGTGGCCAAGGTGGGCCGTGCTTGTTATCCTTTCCGTCCGCCTTGCAGCTCTCCGCGTAGGCGCGTCCCGCCTCTTGTAGTACCTTCACGAAGGACACCCCCGCGCCGACTATGTAGCACGCAAAGCAAGCGCCAGTTACCTCTGCCAATTCCCGTGCGTCGGTGAGAGCAAAGGAGGAGGAGGAGGAGGAGGAGAAGAAGGAGGAGGAGAAGGAGGAAGGAGGAGGAGGAAGAGGACAAGAAACATCAGGAGCGCGAGTGGAAGGAACGGGGAAGCAGCAAAACCAGGGAAAGGCGGGGGAGGGGAAATGAGCGGGGCGACAACAATAATAAAGGACTCGGATCCAGGAAGTTGCCCGCGCTAGGGCGAGAGCGCCGCATTGAACGACGGGAGCAAACCACCGATCCGACAGTGAGGCCCACGCTGCAGCAAGAACAACACGTTGAAACCCGACAAAACTCGAATTGTAAAACGCCATGACAAGAACAATGCGCGGAGAGAATCGGCTATCGGGGAGAGTGGGGAGTCGTACCCATCATGTGTAATCTTAATGAATAAAGGATGAGGTAGAAGGGATGACAGGAGAAGGATGAATGAGTAAAAAAGAATTCGAGGTCCTATCTGGAGCTGCCCCCGTATGGTTACCCTGGTGGGGCAGGTGCCATTCACCTCATGGACGTTCGAGAAACACCAATCCAAGATTTCCGTGGTCGGAATGAGTCGCGGGCTCACGTATCTTTGAGCCACCACGGGAAGATCTCGTGTGAAAAGCGCTGGTTCCTCCGCGTGCGTTGTTTTTGTATGTTTGAATGGCGGTCCGCCCTACCTTTGTGGGTTTGCTTGGGACTTGGAACTCGGGGCCACCCTTGGTCCGAAGACCCCGGTCCAGAAACAGGACAGTCAGCACAGACGGTCCTGTGAGCGAGTGAAGGGCCAAGGAGGCCGAAGGAGCGACCAGTGCTACGAGGGGCCAGAGGTCACCGAGCAAGCAAAACCGAACGAGTGGGGAGATTGCTGGGGCTACCAAACAAACCCCCAGAGCTATCCAGGAATGCGTCTGGACCTGCCAAACAGGAGGCCCAAATCAACAAGCGGATCACGTAATTTCTGCCTCCTCCCTCCCCCTCTCCCTCCAATCGATTGAACGAGGCGAGCGATGGAAATAATCTCGCGTCTTCGAACACGCCATCGACGTCATCCCCGCGCAAGCTCCCCCTCCGTCCCCACGAATACCCTCCTCACTGCTCTTCCTCCTCCTCCTCCTCCTCCACCTCCCCCTCCTCCTGCTGATCCTCCTCATCCTTCTCCATCCTCGTGTTGCTCCAACTAAAGGCACATCTCACCTTCGTGTCCTATAAAAGCACAATGTAAGGAGTAAGGGTTCGGGTTTAGTGCCTCTTGCGACTACAGGAGGTACCTCACTACTGGAGTGTAACAAGGGCTTGAGTAATGCATCACGAATGCTACAACAATGCCACACGGATGCTACAATAATGCCGCGGGAATGCGACAAACCGGAAGTGATGCGTGCAACTCGCCTTTTTGCACACTCGCCGAATGAAGTTGCAAACCAACGATTATTAACACGATGCCGGCAAGAAAAAAATGCGCAATTCCCCTCTGGAGTCGCCCAGGATCGTGATGATCCGATCGGATCTCATATGGTCTCACAGGACTCCTGTGGGATCCTCCGGGATCCTCTGGATCCCTTAAGACTCCTCAGGATTGCGCAGAACCCTGAAGAATCTTAAGGGTTCCTGCGGAACTCAAGGAGGTCCTGAGGAAACATGGGGGACCCTGCGGGACCCAGAAGAATCCTGAAGGCCCTGAGAGATCCTGCGAGGTACTGGGGGATCGTGAGGAGTCCTGAAGGGTCCACTGGAACCCCTGAGAATCGTAGAGAACTCACAACAACACATTCGCGTGCGGAGATGGACGCGAGAGGGCGCGGGAGTCCAATCCCGCCATCACATATCAACTTCAGGTACGAGGGCGATGGATTCCACTAGCAGTATTGGGGTGCACGGATATGTTCTCCTACGCCGTCTTCCAAATTGTGGGCAACTTTATTATTGCATCTCTTCGTGACACCGTTCATGGAATGATGAAGAATCCTGGGCACCCCACTGGAAACCATAACGAATCCAGACGGAAACAAAAAAAAACCGTTAAGCTCTTCCGAATCAAACAACAAACCTACGCAAACCGGGTGAATCCGGGTGAATCTGTAATAATCGTAGATAGTCAGATGAAGCCCCGAGGGACCTCAGTATGGATGTCCTGGGGGTCTCAAGAAATCCTGGGGGCTCCCGAGGACACAAGAAAACGTCCTGGGTCCGGAGGAATCCTGCGGAGTCCTGAAGGGTCCTGGAGACCCCAGAGGAGTTCCGAGGTATCTTGAACATTGACGAGCAAGACAATTTGGAAAAATGCTCAGCACTCGGGAGGCCTCCGGAGGAATCCTTATGAATCCTGGGGAATCCTGAACAAACCATAAAAGAACCCTGACGAAACGTGCGGAACGGTGGTGATACGTGAAGAACCCTGTTGAGCCCTGATTACCCCTTGTGGAAACCGGAATAATCCGGATACGCGTTGAAGACTTGAAAGACCCTAGAGGATCCTGAAGGAACCTGGGGAACCAAGCGGAGCCATTCGGAATCCTGGAGGGCCCCGCGGAATCCTGAAAACGCCGGAGGAATCTGCTGGAATCCTGAAGACTCCTGCGGAATCTTAAAGGATCCTCAGGGATCCTGAAAACACTGAATGGCCCTGAGAAGACCTAAATCCCACGGAATCTTGAAAACCCACTACGCAACCTGAAAACAAAACCTGAAAACCCATGAACAATCCAAGGGCAAACTCAAAAGCCCCGAGGGGCCATGACGAACCCCAAAGAAAACGGAGGACATCTGAGGAAACTTGCGGAACCGTGGGGATTCTCCCCTGTGGAACAGAGGACATGGGGGTGGTCTCCCTGTCGGCACGGGAACTCAGTACCTCTCCCTCCGCCTCGGCCCCGGCCCCGGCACCCCCAACCCCGGCCCCGGCTCGTGCCCCCGCCCCAGGCCCAAACCTGGCCTCCCAGCCCCGCTGGCCCCTGCCCCACTACTGGCCCGTATGTGTGTATGTGTGTGTGTGTGCGTATGTGTACGTGTATGTGTGTGTGTGGGTGGGTGGGGCGAGGGTGGGTGGGTGGGTGGGTGGGTGGTGGGGGGGGGAAGGGGCGTGCCAGTCCCGCATGCTGCCGTGGCGGCCTTTGCGGGACCCCTAACAGGGCAGCAGTAGGCATACCCCCCGTGCGGGTCCAAAGGCCCCTTGCAATGCAACCCGGTATCGGTGTGCTTGTGCTGGCAGCGAGCTCCAGGCGGGCACACAGGCATCCGCAAACGCTTCTTGTACGCCACAAGAAGATTCTTGTCTGGCTTCGGTTGGTCACCCTCCTTTCGGGGGGCAGGACCCCCCACGGAATTGTACCTGGTCGTCCTCTCCCAACGCTCCTAGTTCCCAGCAGGGGTTCCCTCCCAGCCGAAAACCTCGCTTTGCCCCGCTGCCCCTGAGGCTTCAATTGCAGCTCCTGGAAGGTGTCTTGCCACTCGAAGGGGTCGTTCCCCAGCGCGCCCTGCCTTCCGCAGAGCCGCCTCCGTCGCCCGCAGCGATTGACACGTCCAGGGGCAGCGGGCCCGAAAGTCCTCCCAAGTAGCGAACCCAGCGCCCCAGGCCACGTCCTGCATGACCAGCGCGCAGCTCGCGACGTACGCGGCTGGCGCTGTTTCTTTTACCGAAGGGAGACCGCACCCCCCGTCATCCAGCCGCAAGGTGGCCTGCAGCTTCGGCGCGTCGTCCAGCGTAGCCTGCAGGAGGTCTCCAAGGCACCCGAAAACAGCATAGCCGAAGGCACCAGTCCACCCCAAGTTGTAGCTGCACGCTGCGCGAAAGTGGTGCATCACCGCGCCCTGGGCGAAGGTGTGGAGCAGGACCCCGCTCCCTCGGCGCAAAAGCACGGCAGCCCGAAGTGTTCGCAACCGAGCCTTAAAAGCGGTGGCCATTGCCGCGGCGGCCGCTCCGTCGGCTTCAGCGTGAACCCCGACCATCTCGTCCTCCTGATCCAACCACGTCGCTGTGTTCCCAAGACGGCAAGTGCGAGTGTGTCCCGAGCTTGTGGCAGGGTCATGAGCTCGTCGTTGTCGTTGTCGTCGTGGTCGTCGTCGTGGTCGTCGTGGTCGTCGTCGTCCTTCTGGGTCGGCTGCACGCCGCAAGGCCTTCGCAATGGACAAGAAGAACTGGTCGGACCCCGGTAGGATTTAGAAGAGTATTCTGGGGGATCTTCAAGAATTCGCAGGAATCCTTGGGAACCGGGAGGAACCCAAAGGACCCTGCGCAATCTTGAAGAATCGTGAGGAGTCCCAAACAATAAAAGGCATCTGGAGAAACCCTGAAGAATCCGTTTGCGGAATCCACGGGAGTTCTTAGGGATCTATAAGAAACTTGACGGGCGCAGGCACGAAGAGTCCTGAGGGCCCTGGGGAACCCTACGAAACCTTGAGAACCTCCGGAACGCTGAGGATTTTTGAAAAATAACAGGAAAAGTCTACAGAACCCTGGGAACCCTGGAAGATCCCTGCGGAACCATGCGAACCCTCAGGAATCTGCAGGAATCCTGGAGAGTCGTGCGCAATCCGGAACACCCCTGAGGAATCCTGAGGAACCCTGAGACCTGAGAAAGCCCTGGAGGAATCCAGAAGAGTCCCGACGAATCCGGAGGAACCCTGCGGAACCCTGAACGGACCCCCAGGAATCTTGAAGAATCTGGAGGGACCCTGCGGATCCCTGGACATTTTCCCTGAAGTTTGTGAGGAATCCCGAAGAATCCAACGGGATCCCAAGGCATCAAGATAAATGGACAAGAACCGCACGCCACTCATGAGAAACGGGCAAGACGAGCGATAGATTTCGTGACCAAGCCGGCGGAACTTCACCATGATGTGCGACCAGCACGAAGGTGAGGTGTGAAACAAAGTACTCTTTCCCACCTTGGGCACCATGGCTCCATTACTAATCACGTACAAGAGACGAGGGTGAGGTGTGTGAGCGACACGATGATCAGGGCTGACCATACTACTAGACCAGTGCGGATTATCATTGTATATTACGTCCACACGCCTTCCATCCTCCTCCTCCGCCTCTCCTATTCCTCCTCCTCCTCCTCCTCCTCCTTCTCCTCCTCCCCATCCCCATCACCATGACCATCATGAACATCATCATCATCAGCATCATCACCATCATCACCATCACCATCAGCATCATCATCATCACCATCATCATCATCATCATCATCATCATCATCATCATCATCATCCGCATCATCGTCATCATCATCATCAGCATCATCATCATCATCATCATCATCATCATCATCATCATCATCATCATCATCATCATCATCATCATCAACATCATCATCCCTCCTGGTCTTCCCTCTGCACCGTCCTGCACCTCCCTCCCCTCCCCCTCCTCCCTCGACCTTGTCCTCGCACGTGGCCGCAGGCGGACACGTCCTCGGTCACCCTCGCTCGCGGCCGCGGCGGGTGCGGGCTACCTGCACCCTCCCTCGACCTTGTCCTCCTCCTCCTCATCCTCCGCAGTCGTGCGATGCCCCATGCAACAGGCCAGTCCCGCCGAGGGAGGCGCGCGAGGCTCCCCTGCCATAGGGCGGTCACCAGGCGCGCGCCCGAGGGCGTGGCGCACAGCGACTCGAAGCCCTCAGCGAGGAAGGGGGCCCCTCTTGCTCGCCATGCCACCCTCCTCCTTCCCCTTCTCCTCCTCCTCCTCCTCCTCCTCCTCCTCCTCCTCCTCCTCCTCCTCCCCCTCCTGCTGCCACTTCATCTCCTCTTCCCCCTCCTCCTCCACCTCCTCATCCTCATCCTCCTCCGCATCCTCTCTCCTTCTCATCTTCCCGCACCAATCCAAAGCCCCCTCCTCCGACCACCTCCTCCCCGCCCCCCTTATCCTCCTCGCCCTTGCCCTCATCGTCATCGTCTTTCTCCTCTTCCTCCTCTTTTTCTTCATATGTTTCGTCGCCTTCTTATCACGATTACAATCATTACTCGTCGTACGGATCTTATCTCTTCTCCGTCCTCCTCATCCTTCTCCTCCTCCTCATCCTACTCATCCTCGCCATCGTGGTCGTCCTCGTGGTCGCCCTGATCCTCTTCGTTCAAGCCTCACCTTCCTCATTGCCCGTGTCCCTTGTCCTCCTCGTCCCCTCCTCCTCCTCCTCCTCCTCCTCCTCGTCCTCATCCTCCTCGTCTTCCCTCGTCCTCCTTCTCCACCTTGTCGTCTTCCTCCCCATCCCCCGCCTCCGCCCGCCCAAGAAGACATCACCAGATGTGCACGCGCCGCTGGCCTCCGACCCCGCTGGACAGCCCACGAACGTGGCCACAGCTGCGCAGCTCGCACCATGCCAGGGAACAGCGAGGCGTCAACTGGGTGCGCGTGACCCCCGACTCCGCTGGACCTCACGGGAGCCCGCGAACGACGCGACAGCTGCGCAGCTCGCAGCCACCCAGGCAGCGGCGAGGCCTCGTCTGGGTGCGGGTGGCCCCGGACCCCGCTGGACCTCCCAGGAGCCCACGCACGTGGCGACAGCTGCGCAGTTCGCAGCCGCCCAGGAAGCAGCGCGGGAGGCTCTCTGATGTAAACTGGCCCGGCCCAGATCCCGCTGGGAGACACCCGTCACGACAGCAATACGCCGTGAAAAACATGATTTTGGAATGCTGGAATCTGGACGCGGAGCGCTGCAAGCTGCCCCAAGACAGGCCCAGGACGACTCCAGAGCTCCCCCAGAGGCCTTGAGCCTCCTCTGGAGGTCCAAAATATGCTCCCAAAGATCTCTCTCTCTACCATGGCCCCTGGAAAAGAACATCAACACGCATTGGGTTGTTCAAGGCTTGTTGGTTCCCGGGCTCTTCGGCATACGATTGGCTCCTGAAGGCTCCACGAGGCCCCAAGACGGCTCCGGATGGCCATCACGAGATGGCTACAAGATGGCCCGAGGACCTCCACTACGGCCCAAAGATACCCCACGTTACAGGACGGCTCAAGACCCGCCACGAAGGCCCACTGTTGTTCTGCTGATGAGTAATCGGGAGACCCCTACGGCGCGCCCAAAACAATCCTCTAAGGAAACCTCCAGTGGCCCTGGAAAAGGCCCCAGGAGATCTCGAAGAGGCCTAAACAAACCCACCCGAAGCGTGCAAGAAGCCCCCCCAGGACGCAACGCATCAACCAATGCAGCGCGATGTCCACGCAATGCCCCCAAGCCCCAAGATGGATCTACCGAACCTGCTCTGGAGAGATTGATGGAACAATATTGCATGCATTTCGATGCTGCGCTGGCACGGCAGCGGGGCGAGAGAGTTACACAGGCAATCCCACCAGCCCTCTGGGCGCAGGTGGTTTAACGATGACTTTCTTTCTTCCAAAAACCATCCCTTCGAGGAGGGGTTCATCACTGATCCGTATTACTAAACACCCCCTCCCCCACCTGGCCGGCAGCCAACCTGGAACCATGCGGGCACCCCCCAACCATCCTTGGCAAAACACATTACAAAATGCAGACTGCGGGGCCCACCCTGCCAACACCCTCCACAATCCCTTTTCAAAAAAAAAACAATACGAAGTGCACATTGCAGCAAAATCTGGACAGTGCGCTGGCGCCCTGAGCACGTTGTATTGTTTGTTGATAGGGATGGCGGGGCACCCTTAGTGAAGCCGCTTTGTACAGGACCACAATCCGTGTCAAAAACAATGCAAAGTGCACGTTGCGACAACGTCATGGGTATTGTGCTGGCCACCCGCGATCACTCGGTACTGTTTTTTGACAGGGGCGGCGGTGGCGCCCGCATGATGATGCTTGCTGTGCGCAGGCCCAGAACTATGCCCACATCAGCATCTGGACCATGCGGGCGGGGGGCATCACGCTTTTTACAAGGATGGCACACCAACCGCATGTGGAGCCCGCGGCGAGCGTCGCGCACCTGGCGTCCGCTTTGGTTCCCAGTGGCTGTCCATCCAGTGGCGACCCCTGGCTATGCCGAGACTCGGATGCCACTTATGTGTGGGAGGGCGGGTGGGAGTGAGCTAGACGGCTTGGGTGCGGAGAGGGTGTCTTGATCCCTCCCCCTACCCTCTCCCCTGGACCTGGACGGGAGGGGCCGCGAGTCGTTGGAACGTCCAAAATCGGCCCCTGGGAGGGCAATTTTCTGACATCCCTCACGAGGATCGTGGCCCCAGAGGGGGGGGAGACGATCGGGACCCTCCCTCCTTTAATCGATAGCCTCGCAGATGGCCCCAAGAGGCGCTCCAGGGCTCCCAAAAGAGCCCTAAGAGAGCCCCAAGAAGGCTCCAAGAGGGTCCCAAGAAGGCCCCAAGAGGCACCCGAGAGGCCCCCAAGAGGCCCCCAGGCACCCGAGAGCCCCCCAAGAGGCCCCCGAGCGATCTCAGAGAGCCCAAAATGACCTCCGAGATGGCTCAGATAGCCCAAGCTGGCTCAAGATGGCTCCCAAGATGCTCCAAACGGCCCCAAGACCGCTCCAATAGCGCCCAAGAGCACTCCGAGAAAGCCCCAAGAAGCGGTTTGCCGGCTTCTGAGGGGGGAGCTGAGTTGGGGACCCCCCCAAACCTGTAATCGATGGCCTTCAAGATGATCCCCAGAAGCCTTCCAGGGTTACCAAGAGGGTTCTAAGAGGGCCCCAACAACTCACAGAGAGCACCAGCAGCAGCAGCAGCCGCAATAATACCTCTAGATGGTTCCATGAGTCCTCGTCCGCGTCGTCCTCATCCTAGCCCTCGTCCTCCTCGTCCTCGTCCTCATCCGCGTCCTCGTCCTCCTCGTCCTCGTCCTCGTCCTCCTCCTCCTCCTCCTCCTCCTCCTCCTCTTCCCCTCGCCCCCACGCGGCACCCAGGGATGGCTCGAAGTGGCCTTCCACGGACACTTCCTTGCTCGCTTTGTTTCCCTTGCTGTGTCTCTTCGTCCCTTTTCTCGTCAGCTCTGAAGGGCAAGGTTTCTGAATGGGCTGGTGGGGATACTTTGTTGTCGCAACCGCAGGCGAGAGCGCCAGCGGCGAGTAAGGTCCGAGCGGGCCGCGCAAGAGCCTAATTGCCTAACGCCGACGGGCCGGCGACCTAAGGCTGGTGGGGATACGTTTTTTTCGGTCGCGGCCGCGAGCGAAGCGCGCAAGCGGCGAGAGAAGTTGTCCGGGCCGACGGGCAAACCTAATTAGCTACAAGACGCGCCGCAGGCCGACCGGCCCACTCACCAAGCAGCAGCGGGGCTGCGCGGGAGGCAGACAGCTGGGGGCATCCAGGGAAGCTCAGGCACGTGCAGTCTGACAAAATGCAGAGAAATTCGGTGCATGCCGCGAGACATAACCCACACAGACGACGGGGGGACGTGCACGAAGAAGTGGTGTCCATCATGCTAGGTGGGCGTTCAGGCGAGAAGAACGATGGGCGAGTCGCCAGTGGGGCGCCAGGCCCAGGGCCGTCCCAGCGGCGTGTGCGGGCTAGGGGATCTGAGCTGCCGAGGGACGTCGAAAACCTGCCTGATGAGGGGGATGAGTCCAGGGTGCTGTTGCGACGGCAGAAGGCTAGACCACTCCGGCGCGACCTCAGTACCCAAGGGGCCATCGTCCCGTGCCCGAGGGAGGCCCGGACGTCAGTGGGCCGGCCCCTCCAACAACGGCACAGAGCCGACGCCAGATGGACTGTAGGAGAAAGCCAGGCTGGCGTGGTGAACGTCGCCAGCGAGGCAGGGGGATCCAGGGAGGGCGCTGCGTGAGGCCAAGCTGGTGGGAGAGAAAAACGCCAGCAAGGTGGGGCGTCCAGGGTGGAACTAGACGGCAGCTGCCGCCTGATGTACGCCGAAGGCCACCGTGGGACTGCCTTCTCCGCCGAATCCGTCATTCCCCGCAAGGAACCAAGGTCTCCGTCGAATCCGTCATTCCACGCGAGCGTCCAGGGTCGCAGCTAACCGCCGCTGAAAGTGAGGTAAAGTTACCGCTGTCAGCGGGGGTTCTGGGCAGCGTGGGGACGATCGGCTCGCTGGTGGGGGTACTTTTTTATATAAAAAAAAACCGCGGGCGGAAGCGCCAGCGGCGGCGGGTAACGGTCGGGCTGCGGCCGCTACAAATTGGCCGGGGGCGCGCGCGTGCCGCGGCAGGCGCCGGGCGGCGGGTGCAAGGGTGCTCCTGCCCAGGGAGTCTGATGGGGAACCAGCACCCAGGGAGAAGTAATTACGCTGCCAAAGTGGCGCGATGCAAGACCCCCACCGTGTCAGAGGCTACAGAACAAATGCGGTCTGAGACACTAGCTGAACAGGAGGAAGTCCCCAACCTCGGCGGGAATAAAGTGCGAGGGGGTCCAGGGGACCTGCCATGCACAAGCATCAACCGAAAGACACACGAGCGGTCGTCAGTCGGCATCCCGCACGAAAGGTTAGCTCTGACAGCGCCAGCGAACCGTCGCAGCTTCAGAGTACCCACCCACACAGCCCAAAGGCGTGGAGTTCGTGGTGTCAAACCGAGCCAAGCACGCCAGGCCCAGGCGACAGCCGCAAATGGATGTGAACGCAAGCGACCATCAAGTGACATGGTGTAACGCTATGCGGAAGGTACAACAGTCCCAATCCACTACCGGCCACAAATCGCAAGCGACGCCAACCGAATTAGAACAGGGACGTGTACCAGGGAACAACTAACGTGACCAGCTCTGGTGGGGATACGCGAAGCGCGACGAATTACACTGTGGGGTGAGAGAGATGGTTCAGGTAAGAGCTTTGGGCCGTCGATGTTCATCGCTCGTCGGCGTTCGTTCTTCGTCGCCGCCCCCCAGGGTCCCCCGCCTGGTATCCCCCTCCTCTGGTCTCCCACACTCAGTTGTCAATCTAGACGTTGCTTGTTCACGGGGGGTTCTTGACAGGCGAACATTTACCCAAGACTTCACGTTTCCGAAAACGGCGTGCATTCTCCATGTCAGCCAAGGACTCCCCCCTCCTCCCCCCCGAGGTGAGCCCCAGAGGTGTATAAGAGGTCCCGGGACCCCACGAGGGCCCCAGGTGCCCCTAGGATGGCCCAGTAAGGCCTCCCAGATGGCCGCCATCACAGCCCCCAGACGCCACCAGGTGGCCCGCATACCATCCAAAAACGGCACCAAGACGCCCGAAAGGCCTGCAGGATGGCCCCCCTAAACCCCAACAGGGCTTCATAAGAGCCCAAGATGATCCCAAGAAGGCAACAGCATGGCCTCAAGAGTTTCCCCCTCCTCCTCTTCCTGTTCCTCACCACGCCATCGTGGAAGGCCTAGGACACGCGTGACACCCGCTTCAATCTGCTGGCTGAGACAAGCACGTATTAGGTCCACAACCTGGAATCTGGATGATTACTTGTAAGGTGTGGTCGGGCGATCGGGCAACGTGCCAGGCATGCCTGGCAGGACATGCAAGAACGAGGCTTAGAAGCATGCACCGACCCTAAACATAGGCGCACGAAACCAAATCCCTTACTGTTGCAATCATGTGTCCTGGTTGTGCTTTGCCGAGAGGAAGGAGCTGGCGTTGACGAAGGTCCTGCACGAGACGCTGGCCGAGGCAGGCTGTTCCAAGAGGCAGTGGAAGATCTCCGGAGGAGACTTGCAGCGGCTTCTTCTTGCGAATTGATTTGCTCAATGCGGCACACTACGTCCAATGTGTTCCTCATTCCATCCGTGTGCCCCATCTGGCGCGCAGCCACGGGAGCAGAGCATACTGAATCACTGCAACTTCGAGCGCTCTCCTCGGCTGCTGAAGGACGCAACTCCGATGCATTAGGCGATAGCGCGTTGATGCCATCAGTGATCCCTGGCTTTGCTCACAACACCTCACGAGCATTGTACCG